GAGAAGGAAGGGAATAATGGGGGGGGGATTGGAGGGAGAGATGAACCATGAGAGACTATGGACTCTGAAAAACAAACAGGGTTTTAAAGGGGAGGGGGAGATTGGTTAGCCCAGTGATAGGTATTAAGGAGGGCACGTACTGCATGGAGCACTGGGTGTTATACGAAAACAATGGATCGTGGATCACCACATCAAAAATAATGATGTATTGTACGGTGACTAACATAACATAATAAAAATTTAAAAAAATAAAAATAAAAATAAAGGGTAAATTTAATAGCATGTCTTTAATAGAGCAAATTCTCAAATAAAAACCTTAATCAGAAAATAAATAAATAAATAAATAAAATAAAATAAAATGAGTCTCTTGCAGACAGCACATCAATGTGTCTTGCTTTTTTATCCAGTCTGATACCCTGTGTCTTTGTAATGGGCACATTTAGCCCATTTACATTCAGAGTTAACTATTGAAAGATATGAATTTAGTGCCATTGTATTACCTATAAAGTCACTGTTTCTGTATATTGTCTTTGTTCCTTTCTGGTCTATGTTACTTTTGGGCTCTCTCTTCACTTAAAGGATTCCTTTTAATATTTCTTGCAGGGCTGGTTTAGTGATCACAAATTCTTTTAGTTTCTGTTTGTCCTGGAAGCTTTTTATTTCTTTTCTACTTTATGACAACCTACCTGGATAAAGTATTCTTGCCTGCATGTTTTTCTCATTTAGCACCCTGATTATATCATGCCAGTCCTTTCTGGCCTGCCAGGTCCCTGTGGATAGGTCTACTGCCAGTCTCATGTTTCTACCCTTGTGGGTTACAGACCTCTTGTTCCGAGCTGCTTTCAGGATTTTCTCTTTGTCTCTGAGATTTGCAAGTTTCACTATTATATGTCGAGGTCTTGACCTATTTTTATTGATTTTCAGAGGGGTTCTTTGTGCCTCCTGGACTTGAATGCCTGTTTCCTTCTCCAGATTAGGGAAGTTCTCCACTATAATTTGCTCCAATATACTTTCTGCACCCCCCCTTCTTCTGGGATCCCAATTATTCTGATATTGTTTCACTTTATGGTATCACTTATCTCTTGAATTCTCCCCTTGTGATCCAGTAGGTGTTTATCTCCCTTTTTCTCAGCTTCTTTATTCTCCATAATTTTTCTCTATATCACTAAATCTCTCCTCTGCCTCATTTATCCTAGCAGTTAGCGCCCCCATTTTTTATTGCACCTCATTAATGGCCTTTTTTATTTCGACTTGGTTGGATTTTAGTTCTTTTATTTCTCCAGAAAGGGATTCCCTAGTGTCTTCTATGCTTTTTTTTCAAGCCCAGCTAGTATCTTTATAATTGTTATTCTGAACCCTAGTTTTGACATCTTACTTACATCCATACTCATTAGGTCCCTGGCAGTCAATACTACCTCTTGTTCTCTTTTCTGAGGTGAGTTTTTCTGTCTTGTCATTCTTGCAGAGAGGTCACTTTTCTATTTGTAGAGTTGCAGCTATTCTTTTCTTAGATCTCTGGTTGAGTTCACAGGTATTCAGTATGATTTGATAGATATGTAGCTGAATTCCTGGAACCAGACAAAACTAAGGTTTCCTACTCCCCCACCATCTTTGACCTTTTGACTGCTCTTTTTCAGTACTTCATTCCTTTTTGTGGCCAAATAATATTCCATTGTATGGATTTACCACATGTTGTTTATCTACTCATCCACTGATGGACATTTGGGTTATTTCCACCTTTTGGCTATTGTGGGTATGGCTGCTATGAACATGTGTGCACATGTACTTGGTTCCTATGTAGTATTAACAAGTTTATATTTTAGGGTAAATATCTGTTCTCCCCATCTTAAGGCTTCCATCTGGGGACCCCCACATTTAGGAGCCAACATCTCTGTCCTCCAAACCAGGAAAAAGTCCAAGCAAGTCAGAAAGATGGAAAACGTTGTAGATTCAGAAAGAGCCAGCCATGACAGGCCTTGGATTGGAGGTGGTTTCCAGTAGCAAATTAGTGAGAGAACAAGAGGACATGACAGGGAAGAAGTAATTACTACTACACATCCCTGGGAGTGTCATTTAGTTAAGCAAAATGATGGCAATAGAATTAGCCACATCTTACCTTCTCATTTTTCATTTTTTAATGCCTGAGAGTAGGTTCTGTTATGCTCTCTAACACCTCATGGTGAAGCTCTGGCCAGGCCCCCAGACATAGTCAGGGACAGAGTACCACACAACTCAGCTGACCACTGGCTCCCAGATGCTCTAGGTCTTACTAATTAGCTTCTGTAAACCCTCAGAGAATGGCTTTGTCCCAGCAAAGACAGTGAGCAGGACATCACCCCAAATATGGTGACCCACCCCAACTTGTATTTCCTGGCCACACTGGGCAGCTGGATACAAATTAGGGAAAACAGCTCAGAGAGGGAGCCAAGTGTAATGGTTAGGAGCCCAGACTCTGAAGCCAGAGAGCTGCCAGCCTGCAGTTGAATTCTGCCTCCACTTCTTGCTAGCTGTGTGACCCTGTGGAAGTCGCAACCACTCTGAGCCTCAGTTTCCCAAAAGTCAACTGGAGATAGTGGAAAGTACCAAATCCAGCTGCTATGTAATTTAAAAGAGAGTATGACACTTCAGTGTAAGAGCTTGATAAGTGTTAGTTAGCTAGGGTGGTATTGTAATGAAGAAGAGTTCCAGGATTATATCTCCTGCCAGGCATATTGCAAGAGCCCCAGTTCCCTTATCCCAGGAAGGCTGGGATATGTTTTTTAAGTCTACTAGTCTCCCTGAGGCAACCATTTCCCTAGCTGCAGTCACACACACACAGACCCAATGCCCCCCACCTGGCTTTGGCCAGTGCCACCAAATCCATGGAACTCTCCCTTCGTCAGGGGGCACAGACTGTCTTGGACTTCACCTGGTCCCCTGCAGCATGTGAAATGTAGTCCTCACACATCAAGCAGGGTCCAGAGGCCAACATCGGGGAAACTCCTGCAGAGAGGTGGGGTAAGGGGTTATCAATTCTTTGGGCTTTTTGTTTTCTTTTTAAGGAATATAATTTGCATGTTTTTAAAAAATATGTCCATTTAAAGATATTGAGCTAATAATAAGTAATACACAAATATGGCAAAAATAAATATAGGAATAAGTAAACCTGAGAACCATTGGTTCCAGTCTGAAGTGACTTCTGAGCCTGTGACTATGACTTACACAATGACCCCTTGATGTCACTGGATCTCTTTACCTCAATGCCAAGTTCACCAAACAAATTTATACTCACTCTGAGCTATGTGCTATGTTAAGTGCCGAGACACACAAAAGTGAAGAAAAATGAACTCTGTCCTCACACCTGGTGGACGAGGCAGGCAGGGGTCTATCGATAGCACAGGAAGGGCAAAGCCAGAGGGAATTCCTTTAGATATTTATGTCGGTGGTGCTTCCGGGCTGGGCTTAATGGCCCCCAAAATATCTGGACTCTGAGCTGATGAGACTCCATCAAGGAAGTTGGTCAAAACAGATGCTGCGGGGTTAGAGCTTTGCAGCATGCTGGTGTGTTGTCAGGGCATTGCAGTATGGTGACAGACATGTGATGATACCATGATCAGGACAGTGGGCCTATCAGGTTGTCACGTTACAGCCCTTGTGTCATGGCATGGTGGTGGCGGTGTGCAGTGTGGGGCCTGCTTATATGCTCCCAGTGTGGAGTTGTGTCGGTACCAAGTTCCACCTTGTCGTGGTGGGACATTCTGGCCATGCGCTGTTACAGCTGTGTCACAGCAATATTGCCCCAGCTCGCCAGGATGTTACAAGGCCATGAGACTCGGCTGTGCTCTGGCTGCATGAGCTTGCATCGTGAAGTGGTAGTGAAGTATGTGTGACACCACCTTTCTCGCTAGAGGGGCTCCCATCTGGTTTGAGACCAGAAATTCTTTTCATTTCAGTGTCCAAGACACTATTTTTTTCCCTCACTGGTCCAAACACGCCGCACACATTTCTCCTCAGGCAGGAGAGCATTTAGTGACAGTTACCTGGGAGGCCTAGTAACTATGATCTCAGCTTTGCCTCAGGTGTCTGCCAGGTGCTTTCAAAGCTTGCCACATGAAAGGCAGTTGTCAGTCCAAGTCAGAGGAGGCAGGCAAGGAGCAGAGGCACAACTCAGTCCCTTAGCCAGGATGAACCTTCTCCTGGGGAGGAATGACTCCGAACTCACCAAGGGCAGCTGTCAGCTGGCCAGCTTCTGCCCCTGTGCTTGGGGACCATGGCCTACCCACTGGTCCAAAGAGCCTTTCAGGCTGAAGTTTCTCAAGATACCCATGTCCTGCCCCCATTTTGTCAACAAAGGCGTGGAACCATATAAAACTGTGATTCTGAGCTTAAAATGCATCTCTTCCAGTCAATATGAGGCAGAAATCTGCTCATTTCCATATGCCTCACTTCTCTGGGCCGCATAGGATAGAGGAGTCCTGGTAAGAAAATACAAGGGATTCTTCTCATTCACAGTAGTTACGTTCTGTCAGTTTGTCTCCAATACAGAACCATTGCTCACAGAGGAAATTAGGGTTAGGTTCTTATGAGCCTCTGCTCACAACATTTTCATCAACCAATAAACACATAACTGTTTTCTGTGTGTTTCTGTGTAAAGATACTTTATTTAATACATATTATTGATTCGTTAACATTGACCTTACAGCCAACACTATAACTCATGCCTGAATGAAGCTTCTTTGACACACGTGTTTTCTCTGTAAGATACATTCCAGCTTTCTTGTGCTTAGGAACAGCAGACAGTACTTCAGCACCACACTTGGAGCGTTTTAGACAATGAAATCAACCAATAGAAAGCACAAAAATGCAAGAGAAAATGTGGCATTAAATAGACTGCAGAAAGACTCCCTGCCTGCCTCCTCTGACTTGGACTGACACTTGTTTACATTATGAGCACTGGAATAAGAAGGCAGAGCATCATCTTGCCCAACAGCTGGGAATGTGCACGTTGAGCAATTCCAATTTGTTGCCATTCTGCACATGTCCACAAATGACCACGAAATCACTATAAGTATTGATGTTGGGGTTACAAATAGATTTTAGCCAGTAGGCAAATTTGCAAATACAGAACCTGCAAATAATGAGGATGGATTGTAACTGGAAGGAACGTATATAGAGACTTGCAGGGCACAAGGAATCATTCTAAGCGTTTTACATGTACTGACTCATTTAATCCTGCCAGCAACACAATGAAGTGGATGCTACTATTGTCTCCATTTTATAGCTCGGGGAATGGAGGCAAAAAGGGCCAAGTAACTTGCTGAAGTTCCTACAACCAGGAACTGACAAAGCCAGGATGTGAACCAGGTATCTTGCTCTAGAACCCCCATGCTTAATCCATATTGCCTCTGGGTAACAATCTCCACCAATGACCTTAGTTTCTTAAGAGAATCTATTGAAGTCAAAGAACTGAACCCACTACATTTCCTCAGGCATGGCAGGCTGGCTCATACTTTCTCATCCTGAGCAGTTGAAGCTTTCCTGATGCTTCCAGTGAAGCTGGTATACCATCTGTTATTTGATGACCTCCACTGAAGCTTCTACTACTGGCCTTGCTATTATTGACCCATCTGCCTTGGCTACCCTGCCTGACTGGGGAGGGCCCTTTCTTCCTACCATTAGACTACTGAGTTGCCATTTTCTTTCAATACTCCATCAACAGTTTTTCTTTCTGTGGGGTTGGAGGGAGTGTTGCTTTGTACCCTGTGGACAAGTCAGTAAGGCGAGGCACGTGGTACTACCCCCACGACTCAGGCAAGAGTTCAGGTACCTGCTTGAGAGTGATTTCCTACATGAGAGTGATCCCCTGAACCTCTGAGCTCCATTTCCCACTGGTATATATGCACAAATAGGTGGGAGGTGGTACGGTAGAATGGCTACGAGCACTAGCTTTGAGTCTGAAAGATGTGTGACTGTGGAGAAGTAACAAACCTCTCTATGCCTCATTTTCAACACTGTAAAGTAGGTGTGATACCACCTGCTTTATTATAATCGTGATAAAAGTGATTAAGTAAGGGTGATAATAGCATCTGCCTTATAAGGTGGTTGAGAGGCTTAATTGAGAACAATCATGTGAAAATTTTGCACAATGCCTGGTATGAAGAAGAGCTCAGTGAGAAGCTTTATATTATTCTTCTCATTTTTATTTCACAAGTATTCATTTTAGTGTTCTGGGCTTACCACCATCAATTCTAAAGGTCTTTTGTAGTTTCACATGAGAGTCTTAACACTTTCAAAATCAAAAGGACTCTTGGTGGTTTGTACCAATTGCTTAAGCTCTTAAGATGGACATATAATTGGATATCTTCACCTCCCCCCCACCACCATAAAATTTCCAGAAACACTGATGGGATTCTAGGAAGGTGGTAGATGTAATTTTTTATCTTTTTGAATCACCCTACAAAATAGAGAGACTAACATGGCAAAACCAAACTCCTGCAGACAATATCTACAGCAATACAAGGAATCCATACCACTCCACAATATGAGCAATTGAGGAACGACCATGAATGCCACCAACACCATGTAGCAACAGCAAGTGTGCAGAGGGAAGCAAAGGAAGGACAAAGGGATTTCTGTTGAACTTGAGATTCAGAGAACCCAAAATTGCCAACAGATACTCCCAATGGAAGGGAAACACAATCTGGGGAAAACAGCCTTAACTGGCAAAGGCCTTACACGCTTTAGTTTCTAAGCACAAGATCAGAGAATACTGGAACAGTCTGGATGCTATGAGCTCTTAGAACTAACAAGAGCTCCCTTCCAAAACAAAGGCCTACACTGAGTAGAAAATACTGAGAATAGAATCTAATTTATGTAGGACAAGGTATTAGGGGAAAAGGAAAGAAATGTTCCTGACAAAACTGGGGAGGGTAACTAAGTCCACAGATGTTAGAATAAATAAAAGCCATATATTTGAACACTTTGTAATAATAACAGAATAGTGAACTGAACTCTAGAACTTTGAAACTAGGAAAATGATCCTGGCCCACGCTCCCTTCCCAAGTGAATAGGAGAACTCAGGCCCTTCAAGTACAAACAACAAAAAATAATTGTGTTTGAATCCCACACAAAGTTATTTCAAGAAAAAAAAAGAGAATAATGAGCAAAATGTCCCCATAGACAATAAATAAGCCAGAAATAAAGACTAAAAATGCAGAGAAGAAAACAAAGAAAACCCCAGGCACCAGATGGCTGCCTGGGTGAATTCTATCAAAACATTTAAAAGATATAATGCCAATCTTACAAAAACCTTTTTAGAAACTAGAGGAGGCGGGAACACTCCCAAACTAATTTTATGAGACTAGAATAACCTTGGTACTAAAACCTTATGAAGATACTAGACATGCAGATCAATATCCCCCATAAATATACATATAAAACCCTTGAAAATACTGCAAGATACAACAATATATAAAAAGGATAATGACTAAGATTTATCTCAGGAATGCAAGGTTGGCTTAACTTTCAAAAAGCAATCAATGTAACATATTAAGAAGAAAAAAAAGGAGAAAACTCATGTGATCATTTCAGTAAACGCAGAAAAACCCTTTCACAAAATTCAACACATATTCATGATTAAGAAAAAAAGTCTCTTGGGGCGCCTGGGTGGCTCAGTCGTTAAGCGTCTGCCTTCGGCTCAGGTCATGATCCCGGGGTCCTGGGATCGAGCCTCGCATTGGGCTCCCTGCTCAGCGGGGAGCCTGCTTCTCCCTCTCCCACTTCCCTTGCTTATGTTCCCACTCTTGCTGTCTCTCTCTCTGTGTCAAATAAATAAATAAAAAATCTTAAAAAAAAAAAAAGTCTCTTAGCAAACTAGGATTGGAACAGGAATTCCTCAATCTCTGTGTCAGTATGGATTTTCTAAGAAGCAGACACCAAGATAGGATTAGACATGCAAGAAATTTATTAGAGGAAATGCTTGTAAGAGGAAATGAGGAGAAGTT